GGTTGTCCTAAATTATTTAAACCTTAAATATTAAATTTTAGTTATGAGTAAAAAATATTTTAGTCCTTAGAGAACCTAACGAAATCCAGGCTAAAATAAAAATGACATGCAAATCATCAATAAACTAAGAAAAACAGACAACCCTAGAGGCAATCATTTATAAAGAAAACACATTAGAATAAATCAAATTAATTAATAAATATTCATAGGCCAACTGCCCTTAATTACAAACCAGAGTCTGTAGAAAAGTAAAGTAGCTATGCACCACTGCCAATAACCTAGATTTTTAAGCCTAGGAATGACGCAAATGACTTTGAGTGTGATATTTGATCTTTAGTTCTACAGTATTCTTGGATTTCTCTTCTTGGACTCCTTAGATCTCTCCTCTTTAGACTCCTTGGATTCGTCGTGGCTTGAATATCCAAATGACGAGATAATTTCTCCCTTAAAGAGGTATTGCCTTTTCTCTTTTGATATTTAAAAGCTATTCGAACTCGAGCTTCTAAATAGAAGAAGACTCTCCCTCTTGAGGATGCCTTCTTCTTCTGCAATTCGAGTTCGATAAGGATATCCCAACTCAAAGTCACTTTCACAACTCTTACTAATATTACAAATGTTTATATTAATGGAAAGCAATAAATTCTAGACTCTCCTACAAAGTTATCCTAATTAAAAAAATCTCAAGTAGTTTATATGAAAGTACAAGTACTCATCACAGCCACACTTAGCCATGCTCTTAATAATTTTTTAGGGCTAAGTAGTTTTTGGAACATCTGTAGCAGTTATTATTATTTATGATTTTATCCCTTATTTATTTTGGGGGGCTAAGTAATTTATGAAGCATCTGCATAAGACATTATTAATATTAAATCATGATAATTGCCCTCATTTTATTTAGCATTGCATGAGCATGACCACCTGCAGAAAACATTATTAGTATAAAAATATCTATTCTAACCTATGAGTAAATCTAACACATAATCAATTCACAAAGTACAATAAAAGTAAGCAAACACATGATCAACAATTTCATTCACAACATGTAATAAAATCTAAAAAAACTGACACACAGCAGAACGTAAACACCAACCTAGCCTAGGTCTAGAAATGGTGTCATAGCAAACAATTCTAAGTGTGTGTAGAGGCCTATGTGGCTGGGATAAATTCTAAGCTAGGTACTTAGTTAAAGTTGCCTAAAGTTCAGTTTTTTTGAAGGTCTGAGAAGAAAACTTTATTTAAAGTTTAATTATTAGTGAATTAGGATCTATTTTAGTTAATTTAATTTGTTGCTCCATTTTAATGCTTAGGGTAGTGTTAATTAAAGTTTAATTTCTATTAACCAATTTTGAAAAATCTCGGGTCTTCCTAGGTGCTAGGCTTAGGGGGTCTAAAAGGTCACTATAGGAAATATGCTAGGTTTGGGGGATCTATCATTTTAGTTAAATATAATCCTTAAGGTGAGTAGTTAGGCTTTGAGTTTGCTGGATTTGAAGTTTCCTATGCGAAGTTTTAAAGTTTTAAAGTTTTGGGCAATTAATGAATTATTAAAATTATTTAATTAAGAGTGATTTTAGGGTTTTGCTTCAAATCAGCTCCAAACTGATTGGAATCACCCCCAAAGGTCAGAAATGACCTAAGAAGGTGTTCCCAAGTGTTTGGGGAAAATTTGGAATTTTTAATGATTTTTAATTATCTAAAAAAAGGCAAAAAGGTAATTTTCAATTAAGGTTGAATTAAGGGTTAGATTGATGTCCAACCAAGGGGCCTTAATTATCTAAGGTTAAGGATCAAATTCTAGAGAATTCAAGCTATGGTGGATAAATTTTTGATCTAAAATGGATTTATTAGAGTTTTTAGAAGTTATCGGACCCTAATTAACGGGTAAATTAGGGTTTGTTAATTAAGGGATCTAAAGAGTAATAAAAATCCTAGAAAATTTTGGAGGTTTAGGATCTTACTAAATTCAAATATTAAAGTTTTCATGTAAATCAGGGGTTTACTCTAGCTCTTAGAAATTTTTTAAGTTCGCCAGACGAGTCATTAATTATTATTCTTAGGGTGTCACTATGTTGAGTAGGTTTAAATTATGTTTTGAACTAACCCTTGGGGTAATATAGAGGGATAATGCAGTAAAACTTAAACACATCATGTCCTTAGATTTAGGAGAGCCTAAGCTAAGTGCTCGTGCATCCTACATATGCAAAAGATAATAAAAGAAAAGAAAGTGCACTTATCGGTGAGATTAGTAAATGATTGGATCTCAATCACCTACTAATCCACCTCCCACATGAATGATATTCATTAGTAAAGCCTATGTTTAAAATTACATGAAGTAGATCCCCTAAGATTAAAGTAATTTAATTCTTTGAGACATGCTTTGATTTTTTAAAGCCTATGTTTAAAATTTCATGAAGTAGATCCCCTAAGATTAAAGTAATTTAATAATATATGATTTTTAAAATAAGATAGAATTTATATATATTAAATATATGAGTATATAGATTTAAAAAATAATACAATTAAAAAAATAATTTAGTTCATATGTGTATGAGGGATCCACTGACCACCCAAGGGAGGTTTCAAAATAATTTAAAAATAATTTTTAATTTCAAAATAATTTATTATAATTAATTATTTTAATAGTAATTAAGATAACCAAATAAATAGGTAATACTAAAAACATAGCTTAGAAAAGGGAAGTCTTAATTTCTGAAAAATCATTTTAAATTTAAAATAAACATATTTTTGAAAATTAAAAGATTATACGCAAATCGATTTAAAGATGAATAGTTGTGATATTTTCGAAGCTCCAATGCATAAAAAGTATTCTAAGTAATCTTTTAAAATATATTAATAATTAAAAATAATATTTAAATTTAAAAGAAAAACTAATCATTTAAAGCTTTGAAATTAGACATGATTTATTTTTTACAACTTTAATCAAATTAAAAATTATTTAAATTTCATATGTAATAGTATTCAAATATTTAAAGTTAAGATATAAATAAAAGAGAAGCGAAAAATATATGACACATTTTAATTATTAAATTAATTTAAAAGTTAGATAATAAAAAATGAATAGGTTTTTTCTGATTTTTAAAAGACGTATAGCATATTTTTATAAAATATAATAATAAAATAAAGATAATTAAAATAATTAAGTAAAATATTAATAACAATAATAATAAAGAGTTTTAAATATAAATGCTAAAGAAAATAAGCTTAAAATAAATTAATAAGTATAAATAATGATAAACAATTGTAATTATAGGTAAAAATAACAATCACTTTAAAATAATAATAAATAATAATAATATAATAATTAAAATTAAACAATATTTAATAATTATATCAATTAAACTTAATTAAATAACTAATATAATGTAAAATATACTAAATATTTTAAAATAATTTTATTTTTAAAATAAAGAAAATAATTTTCTAAAAATTTTGATATAAAATATGTAATTTTTGGAGGGGCAGATCCTTGAGGAAGGTTTTGTATGTGGTTTCCTAAATGGAGTATGATTGGTGCAAGGCAAAATTAACATTGTTGTCGAAGGATTGTCTCTCAGTCAAGCCTCTAAGGACTCCCCTCTAGACTTTGATGATGATGGAATTGAAAGTGAGTTGAGGATATTCTCTAGTGATGATGAGGATATTGAGATTATATAATATTTTTATTATAAAGGAGTATTTTTTATTACGCGATTGTTTCTATTTTCTTTATCATAATGATTGTGATGCATATGTTTTCTTAATCTATTCATATGTTAAATGGATGATATTTCTTGAGGTGCATTGGGTTATCATATAGTTGAGGCATTATAATTTAACTCAGCTTCTCATATGAATAGCTCGACATTTTTTTAGATTAGAGAGAATTTTATGAAATATTTTTTAACATATCCAATGTTGTGTGTTAGAAAATTATTTGATGTTATCTTGATTAAGGCACATGAAAAGATTTGTCAAAGAATATCTCTTGGGAGTTTATCAAGCTATATAGCTTTCAGGATAGTTGCAACATAGAAGAGTGCTCTTCAGGGTGATAAAGAATTAATTGAGGTAGAGAAGAAAAGACTAAAAGATCATCTTTCCGAGAGGGAAGCTACCATATTAGATGTTGAGGCTAGAGCAGATGTCATATCATTGAAGGCTATAGAAGACTTTAAGAAGACTTCAACTTATCACAGAGAGATCCATGATTGCATCCAAGAAGTTCACGATAAGATTTTTGATACTGAAGTGAGGGATTTAGAGCGTCAGAGCCTTAAGGAAGGTTTTGTTTGTGGTTTCCTCAAAGGAGTATGATTGTTGCAAGGCAAAATTAAGGTTGTGGTTAAAGAATTGTCTCTCAGTCAAGCCTCTAAGGACTTCCCTCTAGACTTTGATGATGATGGTATTGAAAGTGAGTTGAGGATATTCTCTAGTGATGATGAGAAAGATGGTGAGATTTTATATTATTTTTATTATTATAAATGAGTATTTTCAATTATGTGATTCTTTTTGTTTTCTTTATCTTAATGATTGTGATGCATATGTTTTCTTTATCCATTCATATGTTAAATGGATGATATTTCTTGAGGTGCAATGAGTTATCATATGGTTGAAGGGTTTATAATTTAACAAAGCTTCTCATATAAGTAGCTCAACATCTTGAGGTTAGAGAGAATTTTATCAAATATTTTTTAACTTGTCCAATGTTGTGCGTCAGAAAGTTATTTGATTACATTAACGAGGGTGGAGTAGTTTGAGAGACATCCACCAAAGATGTTTGTCCTAGGATTACCTCAAAATTTCTAGCGTGTAATAAATAATACTCATGCCCTAAAATATCCCCAAATATATCACCAACTTTTGAAAATCATGTAAGAAAATAGGAATAATAACCATCAACAAGAGTCCAGCCATCTTCAAGTAAAACCACAATACCTGTTGGATTCTAGGGAGGAAGATGAAGCATCTCTTGAGCTTCTTGGAAGAGAGAGAGAGAGAGAGAGAAGAGAACTATAATGTTTATTGCTTGGCTTAATGGCTTCACCTTATTACAGACTATTGCATATATTTATAGACTCTAAAGACAACACAAAAGATACACAAGAACTAAAAAAAGTGCAACTAAAAAAACCAAATCCTAAAAATAACCATATATAAATATAGCACTACAATTTAAATACTAATCTTTAAAGCAGAACATCATTTTCAATCTATAAATAAGTGTAAAATTAGAATAGAAATACTTCGAATATCCAAATTTCAGCTTCCAAGCTTAAAAGCTAGCTGGTCCTCCTGTGGATCCCATCATAGCAGAATTCCTTGCAGCAGCATTCCTTGAAGCATTCCTTGCAGTGGCATTCCATGTAGCAACATTCCTTGTAGCATCAATTTCATGAAATATTGTAATCAGAGCAGCGACAAATGAGTAGTCACAGTTTGCGCTTATGGAGGCTCCAAATGCGTGCTTCAGAGTCATTTTCAGTTCATGCTGCTTAGTAAGCTGAAATTACCAGAGAAGTTTCATCCATCAGTAACTGAAAGAAGATCTATTACAATTTATATTAAACTCTACCATCTCTGTAATCTTCAAGCAATAGGTGGACAAAGAAAATTTATCAGTTCAAACAAAGCTCATTTGATTTTCACTTTTGTGTTGAGACTAGAGAAAAAAATTCTGACTTGAAAATCGTAGATCCCTCTGATTTTTCAGTAAGATTTTGTTTGTGTGTGAATCAATAGAAAACAGTTTGAATTACCTGAGCAACAACAAAAGATGAGTCTCCTTTAAAAATGGTATAATTCTTCTTGCTGTAACTTCCGACTATCTTAAAATCGCAGTTCTCCTCTTTTGTGTTGACTGCAAGAAAGACAAACCACTCGTCATGAATCTTCCAAGCAGAGCTCCTCTTGATGCTGAACAATAGATCTTTCGCCTCTGTACTTTCGCCTGCGAACGCCTGCCACCTACTGTGCCAGCTCCAAAACTGCAACCCCAACAACAGCAAAATATAAATTTCTCATCTTTCAGTTCAATAGAGAGATTTAATAGCTAACGCTGTAAAAAGTTCTAACCTTATCTTGAACGGTGAGTATGGTATGCCCGGAAGCATCCCGGAGCTGGGTGAAGCCGCCCCATGAGGATTTATTGGCTCTGAAGACGACATTACCGGCGGCGTCAACGGTGGCGAGGCCTCCGCGCTTTTTATCACCTGGAGGCTTTGTGGTGAAGGCGAGATCAATGGGGTAAGCAGCATAGAACAGAGGGTTGATGACGGCTACTTGGCTGGAATCCATGATGAAGAATTTGAGGTTTAATTCCTCTCTTTTTATTTGTTGATGGATTTCTCTTATTGGGTTGATGAAGATGATGAGGGGGTTGAAGTCCGTGATAGTTATCGGCTGAAGTAGACGTGAGTAAGGGAAAGACTGAACAAGTCAATAAGACGCGTCAATAACTGATCAGTTTCATTGTAAGTCGTTTTCTTTGGTCGTTTTGCTGACCACGCGTTCAAACATAGAATTAAAAAAAAAAAAAAAAAAAAAAAAAAAAAAAAAGCCAGATTAAGGGGTGTCAATTCAGGTCAACGGGTCGGGCTCCAGTCAGGAACTGACCCGGCACTATTCGGGTCAACCCGAACCAAACCCATTTTAAAAACGGTTAGGTTTCCGGACCCGAACCCGACCCGATTCGGGTCAGGGTCAACCCGACCCAATACGAATGACCTGAAGACCTAAAATTGCTAGTTTTAGGATCAAAATTTGGTTAAATCTTTGATTTTCGGGGGCTGGAATCCATGATGAAGAATTTGAGGTTTAATTCCTCTCTTTTTATTTGTTGATGGATTTCTCTTATTGGGTTGATGAAGATGATGAGGGGGTTGAAGTCCGTGATAGTTATCGGCTGAAGTAGACGTGAGTAAGGGAAAGACTGAACAAGTCAATAAGACGCGTCAATAACTGATCAGTTTCATTGTAAGTCGTTTTCTTTGGTCGTTTTGCTGACCACGCGTTCAAACATAGAATTAAAAAAAAAAAAAAGAGCCAGATTAAGGGGTGTCAATTCGGGTCAACGGGTTGGGCTCGAGTCAGGAACTGATCCGGCACTATTCGGGTCAATCCGAACCAGACCCATTTTAAAAACGATCAGGTTTCAGGCCCGAACCCGACCCGATTCGGGTCCGGGTCAAACCGACCCGACACGAATGACCTGAAGTTGACCTAAAATTGCTAGTTTTAGGGTCAAAATTTGGTTCAATCTTTGATTTTCGGGTCAAAACGGGTCAATCTCGGGTTTTCGAGTCAAATAGGAGTTTTCGTAATTTCGAGTCATTTTCGGGTTACTGGGTAAACCCGAACCCGACCCAATTTTTAAAACGGGTTGATTTGTTGAACCTGACCCGTTTTGGGTTCGGGTTGACCCTAACCCAGATATTTCCTTGTCGGGTTCGAGTCGTGTCAAAAATTGACACCCCAAGAGCCAATACGACAACTCCCGATAGAGTTAGAAGGTTTTTTTCCGATAGAGTAAGAAGGTGATTTAGGACTTCTTGCAATTTAGGGTTTGAGGTTAAGATTTTTAGGGTTTAATTTAAAATTTAGGGTTTAGAATTTAGACTTTAGGGTTTAAGATTTAGGTTTTGTTTGGGACATCTTTCTTACTACATCTTGGAGCAGCTTTGTAGTACAAAAATTTAAATTTTGTACTATAAAATTGCTTTAAGAAGCAGCAAAAAAGTCATCCGAAATGAAGCCTTAGTGTTTAAAATCAAGCCGTTTGGTTGCAAGTAATTGAAATTTTAAAGTATTCAAAAATCAAAATACAATGAAAAGTAACATAATGTATTTGGTATATTTTATTGGTGTATATATGAAAATGCTCCAACAAATAGTTCTATTTTATAATACACAAAAAAATGAACCAAGGATAAATTTCAAATTCTCCAATATTTTATTTTGAATTTTTTTAAAAAATAAAATTTTAATATTTTCAAATTCATGCATTAAGAATAATTTACATAGAAAGTTCTTCAAATCGATCAACCCTTAGTTGGATTACGGTAGTCGCTCAATCAAAATCCTCTAGAGATGCTAGTCTAAACTCATTGAGACCATCTCCTACCGAATACTAATAACATTATTGCCACATGAATAATGCGACGTCAATTTTGCTTAATGTTTATCAACTCGTTAGACTTGATTAAGGTCTGTCTAATTATGTTGATACATCCTAGAAGACAAAGATTGATGTACATAATGATGAAATTTGAGTTTATGCTAAGTGACAAACTTGATTAGAAGGTTAGTAAAGAAATCTAAGGCTTTATGTGAAATGGAGAAAAGTCAAGCAAATGAAATAAACATAAGTAAATTATGCGTTGAGTATGATTAGTAATAACCAATTTGAGGTTTAAATTTTTTTGTTTCCATTTCTTTTTAACCAAATGCATAGCAACAAAATAAATTGTTCCTTATATATTGAGGAATGAAAGTATATCTTTTATGTACCAACATCCAATGTAATCTGGTAATCAATTTACTCATGGGTGTCAATTTCGGGTCATGGATTGGGTTCGAGTCGAACCCGGAATTGACCCAGGTTCAAATGGGTCAACCCTAACCCAATCTGGGTATGTAAATAGGTCAACAATGTGAACCCAGACTAGACTCGTCGGGTTTCCGGGTTGACCCGACCCGGCACAGAATGCGCGGGCATGAGCGGGTGCCCGCAGGCAGGCACGGGCGCAAGCGGGTGTGCACGGGGGTGTGCGTAGACAATCTCGGGCGCATGGGTGGCAGGCTGGCAGGCGCGGGCGGCCTCGGCAGGGGCGTGGGGGTGGGCTAGCAGGCGCAATCGCGCTTGTAGCCAGGGTAGGTTCGGGGGCATCTGATTTAAATTAGTTAGTGGGTTGAGCCGACAACCAGACGGGTCAACCCAAACCCGACCCGGTCGAATTCTAGAACCCAAACCCGACCCATTTTGAAATCAGGACAGATCAAACCCAAAATTTCCGGATCGGGTCCAAGTCGGATTTTCGTGTCGTGTCAAATATTGACACCACTAAATTCACCTATTGAATCCTTATTTAAGAATAAAGCCTTCACATGCAAATGCAATAATAACTCATCATGTTTTTATGTCCAATAATATTTATAGCATCAAGTGATCTTTTCATCTTATTCACTTTTGATATGCAATGATGTAATATTTACTATTGTCATATGTTATCGTTGGCAATTGCACTCTATTATATTTATCTTATAATATGTTGTCACAATTATTGTAATAGCTTTTGTTGGTTGTAGCTTTTGAATTACTCTCTCTTATATCTGTTAACTTTCAACAACCTCCAATGAGATCAAATAGTAGAATAGAAGAGCACTTAATAATCAACATTTTAGTCTGCTCTATTAAAGCTGTTAAAAAGCACATTATTATATCTACTATATATAAATCTAGTTTGAACTTCATTAAAACCTTATTCTTAAAAAAAATTTCAAACTCTTTTCAAATGATGTTCTAACCCTATTCCTATTCGAGTCATATTCGAACTCTATTTGCATAATGTTCAAATAAGGTTCCCACATGATTTAATAGGGTTTGAACAAGGTTTGAATTTCCCTCAAAGAGCTTCAACCTAGTTCGAAATTTGTTTAAATCATTCTTGTTCACAAGGAACTTCAAATACATAGTTAATGGTCAGTAGAGAGAGTATTTTAGTTTGAAATGAACTTTCAGAAGTCAATGTTATCAGTGACTTTGATGGGAAGAGACGATGGTCGGTGGTAGAGGCAAGTGATAGCAAATGACAAAGGCAAGTGACAATGAGCGACATAAATAGTTGTCGGAGAAAAGCGATAGCATGGGTGGTGATGACAATATCACAAGCTAGCTCAATGAAATATTTGGAAATTATTTGATTTAGGCAACATCAAACATTAGTTTATGTTTTTCTCTTCACACTAAACACAGAAGAATTAGATAAATAAATACAATGTCATTTTAATACAACTTACCAAACAGCCCATGCAAAAGCTCCATATCCTTGAAAACCCTCGCAAAAAGAATATAAAAGAAGTTGCAGCAACTAAGCAATATCAAATCACCAACAGACAATAAGGCTTCGTTTGGGGCGGCTTTCTTATTACTTTTTAAAGAAGTTTTTTAATACAAAAATTTATAGTTTAAAAAAATTTTGTACTTAAAAAATTATTTTTAATAGCACTAAAAAAGCCGTAACAAACGAAGACTAAATAAAACTCAATTCATGGCTTCACCTGAACAAATATTCAGCATAAAGAAGACGAAGAACGTCAACAATCCTAAAGCTGCACCTTACATAGACAGAAGTAGCAGCTTAAGATCCATTTGGGATGGTTTTCTCGCTTTTATTCTTTTTAGTATCACAATTTTCTTTGACTATCACTTTCTTCTTATTTTTCACAAATTTCTGTAGTGAAAGATATTATTTACAATCATAATAGATAAAATTATTTTCCTCACAATAACTTCGCAACCAACTTTATAAAAAGTCGTAGCCGGCTCAAATCGATCCTAAACCAACCTCCTCCTGCTTTCTATAAATCAAATTAGGCTGGAATGGGCATGATGGAGAAGACGGGCACATGTACAGCTATAAAACCCAAGTTTTGATAAAGAAAATAAGGCTTCATTTGAGACAGATTTTTTACTGCTTCTCAAAGCAGTGTTCTAGTATAAAAATTAAATTTTTTTACAAGAAAACTGCTTTAAGAAGCGGAAAGAAAGCCGTCCCAAATGAAACCTAAATCATGTCAGAAAAAAAAATGATAAAAAATGATCAAAATAAACTTTAAAATCTTTCGATCTAGTTTAATTTTGCTTCAATATAAATTATAAAATATTATAATTCATATTACACTCATCTTAAAGCAGATCTAAGGATTTCAAAGAAGATCTTAATAAACTGAAATTCTAACATAATTATTTTCCTTATAAAAATCTGCTCGATATCAGCACAAAAAAAATTAAAATTTCAGTGAAAACAAACTAAAAATCTTCGAAATTAAATCAAAACCAATCAAAGCTAATCAAAACAAAAGATAAAGAGAGAGAATTTATGTATAGCAATGCACGTGCCCTGCTTCTCCATCTCACCCATCCAGCCTTCGTCTGTGTAAAACCTGGAATCAGGTAGCTCAAAAATGGAGGTAGACAGGATTAATGGAGAGATTAGCTGTTCTTGCTTGCTCTAATTTGGGGTGTTTATATAGTTGATTTGCCCTTTATGTGAGTGCGATTTTAATTATTCGATTGTTAAGGGTAAGCCAATCGCATTAAAAAGAAGAGAGAGCTTAATGACCTCATTTCATGATGTCCTAATCAATCAAATAA